TGGTACCGCACGGTCTCCACCCAAGCCTGGACGGCCTGACTGATCGACCGGAGCCAGCACACCCTGCGCAACCCCAGCCCCAGGACTCCAGCCACACTCTTCACCGTCTGCCCCTGTTGCTCCAGGAAGTGGAACACGTGACCAAGAAACTCCTTGCCTGACCATCGGGGCACAAAGACCACGTTCCAGGGACCCCCGGTGCCTGGGATTTCCCTGGGAACCAAAGCATAGTTGACTTCTTGCTCAAGCTCCACCAGGGCCGCAGTGGCATTGTCCTCCTCTCGAAACACTTTGCCCAGCACGGTAAAGTGGCCCATGGGCCACAGGGCGGCCTCCAGGGACTCTTGGAGTTCGGCTTCATCACAGTCCTCCGGGATGCCCAGGATGAGCAGGCCCCTGCGAGCGCTGACACCTATCCACCTGCACCAGTCGTGCAGCATCGTCACTGCCATCGCCCGCAACTTCCGCCAGCGCAGGGGCTAATACTAGGGACAGGGTGCAGACCAGGGTGGCACTGAGTAGGAAATGAATTGAGGCGGGAGCCTAGGACTCAGAGAGAACTTCCCAGGTCTCCACAGCCTGTGAATACGAACGGGGTGAGCGCGAAGTTAATACTTACCCCCTCCTCCCACCCCCAGCTGCTCCTCCTCCCCCAGGTGGAGCCTCTGCAGCCCAGGCTCGACTTGGACCCTCTGAAGGCCCACTGGGGCCACAGCCTCCTCCTCCCCTACTGCTCCCAGCCTCGGCAGGCTGCTGCAGTCCTCCTGGGGCGGGCAGAGGGTGGCAGGGTCTCTAGAGGCTAAGCTCTCCCTCCCAGAGTCTGGTACCTTCTCCTGGGGCGTGGTCCTTCCTGATCCAGGTCCCAGCAGGAGGAGGCTGGGTCGGAAGCCCCTCTTTCCCTGGCTCTCTCTCGCTGTCTCTCCCTCTTCCTTTCCCTGTCCCTCTCCTAGCACCGCACGTGGGCCAGTGCGCCCACGCCTGCCCGCCACCGCTCTCTGCAGTGCGGACCACGGGCCGGGGCACAGTGCCGGCGGAAAGTAGACCCTACGCTTCGCCAAGGAGACCGCCGGGCTATTGGCGCACGCGGGTCAAGCGGTGCCCCAGCTGCTGGAGCCCTGGAACCTGGGGTGGCCTCACCTGCCCCTCCCCAAGCCCCCAAAGGGGCGCGGGCACAAGTAGGGGGCCCCAGGGTCAGAGAGTTGACGTGCCTGTCTGGGATCCAACCCTGGTCCCTGCCCGTCCGGAAATTACCCTCGGGACGCCAGCGTGGGTAGGTGTCCATACCCTGGGGTGCCCCCCCCCCC